AAAACTTGTTGAGTTTAGGAACGTCGTTCGGGTGCAGTTTTACACGGACGCGCTTACTGGGGCGAAGGGATTCCAGCTCTGCTGGTGAGTTTGAAAGGACAGGAAGGGATGTTGGTGACAGGTGTTGCTCACCCGGCCAAAGAGAAGCAGGTTCCAAGGGAAGGCTTTGGGCAGTGATGTGCAGGCTAAAGTAGGCCTCTGTTTTCATTCATCACAAGGTCAGTTTTTGGGACCCAAAAGGCTGAGCACGTGGTTGTAAAGCAAGGAATGTACTGTGGCGACCCGGTGCCCCTCGGGGTTCGGGCAGGACTCGATGGCCTCCAGGCGCCTGTGGAAAACACACCGCCGCCCCGTCGACCACCTGCCTTGTGCTCTCACTGAGCCATAACCCAGAAGCGGCCTCAGGCCAGACTCCTGGTGACAGAGGAGAGGCGGTCAGTAGTGATCTAGATGGTTCCAGTGTCTTTCAACATCCAGGTGACGACTCCTGGGAAGGGTGCCCAGAGGGGAGAAAACAAACTCAGGAAGGAGCTTTATTTTTTTATTCAGAAGTTGTTAGAAAAGCAGCCTGATGACACCCATCAGATCATGGGCTGCCTTTTAATTTTCGAACGGGAGGCACCGGTAAGAAGATAGAAACTTCTCGGTTTACACCAGGAGTTAAAAGAAAGTCATTGCCTCCTTCTCGGTTCATTTTGTAAATTGAGATCAATGGAATCGTCTGAACAACAGCACGGAATCAATCTGTAAAACAGCGTATAATTCATGGCCAGGACTGTAAATTACAGTTGGCGGGACAGGCACCGGGGAGGTTTCCACGCGCCGGGGAGCGTTTCCACGTGACGTGTCTCGGGGTAAGGCCCGTGGATCCGTGTCTGCTGCGTGTCAGGGGGATCCGTTTGCCCCTGTCCCCCGCTCTCTGTGTTTGATCTCATGCAGACGGTGCAGTCAGGCAGAGGGGAAACGACGCTGTTGCTAAGGGGCCCTGACAAGCAGCGGCCTCGTGTTTTCAGGCCCCCCCACCCCCCATTGACGGCGCTCAGGTTTGTGTACATACCTGCGATTGCGCGAATCCATTGATCCATTACATTGCCCTTGAAGGACCTGATCGCCTCTGTGGAGACGTATTCCCCGGCCAGAGGCGGCTGGGCAGGGGGGAGGGAGCTGTTATTATAATCCTTTTGGCTTTCAATTTGAAATTGGTGGTTTTGCTTAGGGCTTCAGCCCCGAAGAATGCCTTAGTCCTGCTTCCCCTGGAACCCACTTTTTCACTTTTTCAGATTAACTCTTTAAAAAAAAAAAATCACTCATTTGGCCTGGCTGGTGTGGCTCAGCGGCTGAGCATCAACCTAGGATCCTGAAGATCGTGGTTCGGTTCCCGGTCAGGGCTCACGCTCGGGTTGTGGGCTCGATCCCCAGTCGGGGCGTGCAGGAGGCAGCCGATCAATGACTCTCTCATCATTGATGTTTCTATCTTTCCCCCTCTCCCTGAAATCAATAGACATCTTTTTTTTAAAATCACCCATTTCCGTTGTTCCTTTTTCACGCAGCTTCCCTCTCCCTCAACCTGATGCCACCTCCTATTTTCTCGTCTCACTTTCTTTCCTCTGGTCCTCGCCATCACCTCCCGTTTCACCCAGGATCTCCCCGGCTGGCCACCTGCGCAGCTCCATCTACCATGTATCATGCGAGGCTCTGTCCCCTTGTTTTTTTCATGCCTCATTATTCAAAGCACCCGAGTGACACTTCATCTTCTTATGGAAATCCAGGCAGGATAACCCACTTCGGGGTGGACAGCACAGGCATAAAAATGACTCGCAAGTCAGAAAAGCTATTTAATCAGACGGGCTTTCTTGGCGCTATTGACTTGATAGCGTTCAGATGTTCAGAATCCAAAGACAATCCTCAATCCCTGTTGCATCTGATCTCCCAAACCAAATATAAGGATTTTTCTTGTGAATTTATATTTAACAAATCCAAAATGGGAAGAAAATTTTAATCCTGCGTAGGTTTGGAAGTCTTGGCTGTGGTTATCAGAAGCGTAAATAAAGGTCAAGAGGAGCATGAAGCGCTTACAAATCTCAGTCGATAAGGCTTATACCTATATCTCCACGTCTGCGAATACCTATGTCTTTATTTCCACAACTCAACTTGTATCTGGCGTCACTCTCGGGAGTCCCTCCCGTGCCCTGAAGGTGCANAACTCAACTTGTATCTGGCGTCACTCTCGGGAGTCCCTCCCGTGCCCTGAAGCTTGCAGGGTCTTAGATAGTTCTCGGTGTGTGGAGCGTGGCCACCCATGACCCTTCATACTCTACGCAAAGGGGTCACTACTGAGATCCCTGCCTCACAGCCAGTAGGTCCTTCATTGCGTCCGCGTCACACTTGGGAAACTGAGCTCTTTGCAGGGTCTCCTGTGGCCCCACCTGCCTGCACCCACCAGTGCCCTTGTCTTTCGCCAGGGCCTGTCCGCTGCCTGGACTCTGCCTTGGAAACAGGCATCGGGGCCCCTCTTCCGAGATCCTGCACATTTATGTCTCCTTCCTTCCTTCCTTTATTCCATCAACCTGGGAATTCTGAGGTTGAGGAGGGGAGGGTCTGCGCCCTTTTGTTTCCCCTAATTATTAAATCTAGGCCCCGAGTACTCTTCGCTTGGCTCTGTCCAAAAGGGCTCTCTGGTTCTTTCTGCTCTCGGACCAGTCACACTCTGTTTCACATCTAGTCCCTATATTATAGGTGAATTCTGACTTTATCACTTAATCGAGGGGCATTTAGAGGAGGTTTGGGATGAGGGGAAGACGTAGGGTCAGGGGCAGAGAAGACAACCACGTTGATCTTGCCCCCAAGGCACAGATGCCAAACGTTAGAGGGGTTCAGAGAGAGCTAGACCCGAGGACTTCAATTGGAGACCTCACCCGGTTTTTCTAGAGACTTGGCCAAACCATGGAAGGTGGGGGAAAAAAAAAAAAGCTCAGTACAAGGGTCCAGTTCAAATCGGAAAACCTACCATCTTCGTGGACTCCTCAGCAGTCTCAGCAATGTCACCTGGTCACGTTGGACAGATACGAGGAGCTGATGAGGTTTGTCCCAAGCTAGGGACTGAGGTGGCAGGTGCAGAAGAGCCCTGGGGAGGTGACGTGCCCTGCAGCCCTTGGGAGATGGCTTTGAGACAGGTGATCGAAGATCACGGCCAGGGAAACGCGGGTGTTGTGAACACTCTGGAAATAAGAGGCTGGGCGCATGTGGCAGCCGAGGAGGGACTGCGCTAACGTGACAAATGCGAGAGGTGGGAGGTCGCCGGTCTGTGGTCAGATAGGCTAGATTTTAAATTAAGAATCTTGGAAACGGTTCCAGAGATGATCAAGTAGAAGGTCTAACGATGCTGAAAAAACGCAGTGGAGGTGAAGGGCGTCACGTTGGAGGAAGTTAAAGCGGAGCCAGACGCGGGGATGAGTCATCCCTGAGGATGTTGGGGTTGCCAAAAAAAAAAAAAAAAAAA